GCCAAAGAGAAGTGGAATGGATTTGTAGTGTGCTATATTGTTCTGTGATTTTTCTATCACTGGCTTTATATAGGTTGAGTGTAGTTACTAGGAAATCAGGATGAGTATGGGGGATCTTTTGGTTTGGATATTGGCCCAGCAGAAAGAAAGCTAAGGAAGAGGGTATGTAGAGTGCTAATAATGGCTTTATTGATCTATGAACAGGAATTAAAGGTAGTCAGACAAGAGTTAAGGGAAGAAACACCAGTTGGTATAGGAGGAATGCAAGGAAGAGGGAGGGGGTGACTTCAAATTTGAATTTTCATTAGCAGGTCAAGCTATTGTGGTGAAAAATTTTGGGGTTTGTTGTTCTGGTGTGACTCTTTTGAAGACTTGTCTCTTTTGTAGAGATAATACTCCTGTTATTACTAGCATTCACCTCCTTTGGTTCATTCGTTAGATTCTAACAATGTTAATTCATCCATTCTGTACACTGGTCCTTTCTCTAGATTTTAAATTCCTTCTTCTTCCCTAGCCTCTGAACTTGCTTGTTATCTATTGTTTGCTCATCCATTCAATGAATACTTCTTGACTGTTAACTTTGATGGATTAGGTGAAAGGTTATGGAAAATAATATCCCTAAAAGACAGTTCCCTGGGAAGAGTGGAGGGACAGAGTGACTTGGGAGGAGGCAGGGGAAATTAGCCAAACAGGAAACCTCTCCCAGTGCATCCTTTCCCAGTAACAATGGGGCCTGAGGGAAAAGGCCAATTTTCATCCCTTCCCAGGTTCATCCCCAGCATCTCCACCAAAGCAAACATTTACCTCTTCCTAACCCCAATGGGTCTTGAAGGAAGGAGGCAAATACTGAAAGGCTGGGCCCTAGACTTTTACCCTTTCCCATTGCAGATGAGTCCTGGAAGGAGAAAAGCAAATAGTGAGGCTCTAGGTAACCATTAACAAGCAGCGGACACCGAGTTGTGAGTTGTGGGAAAATCCCAGTGACAATGAGTTTCACACTTTTTGTAATTACCTTCCTGAATTAAAATTTTAACTTGCACAACTAGGTCCCTGGCTGTCCAAATTGCACGTCTGCAGTCTCCAATGATAAATTCACCCCCGTTGTAAACTATAAAAGCCAGACTCCTTTTGTCACCCATGGGCCATTTCCTGTACCCAGAAAACGAGCCCTCCTGTGCCTGATTGATTGATTTCACTGCAGCATAAAAAGAAGAGCTTGCTGATCGGAAGTTTGCTTCCCATCTCCTGCCTCCGTCATCTGTGGGCCATGAACTTATGCTAGGAACCAGGTGAGGTTCTGGGGACACAGTCTCTATTCTTTTGGAACTTAGAGACCAGTGGAGATATAGATATCTACACACACACACACACACACACACACACACACACACACACTGCTTTTAAAATGACAAATTTTAAATGGTTGGAGAAATACAGAGAGCTACGAGACCATATAATTTGGAGAGCTCACCCAGCTTGAGCAGGAGGGAGAGTGTGTCGGGGAAGGCTTCTCTAGAGAAGTGATGTAGAAGCCAGGTCCTGAAGGGTGAACAGGGATCACCCAGCCTGTGTGTGTGTGTGTGTGTGTGTGTGTGTGTTCCAGAAGGAACCAAATGTACAAACACATAGAAATAGGAAGGGGGGTTCGTATCATTCTAGGAATGTGTCAAGACCAGCCAGGCTGGTTGCTGTGAAGGGACCAGACAGATCTGTGAGCAGGGGTCTCCCAGGCCCTTGTCAAATATTTGTGATTGCCTCGTGGGTATGAATGGGGGCTGCTACCTTCCCAAGGCAGCCTTACCTCAATCCAAGCACTTTAATGGGAGTGTAATATCCTCCATTCTACTATGAGAATATTAAAGCAATCTGATTTTCAGTACAGAAAAATGGAGGGGTTTTGAGGGAGGGGAAATTTTGTAAACATTGAATATTTTCTTCCTTGTTTGCAAAATGCATAATTTATGTCTTCAGAAGGGGCATCAGTGTCTTAATGTGTTTAGCTTCAGAACAATTTGAGTTGGTTAAATCCATCTGCTTCCCACAGGAAAGGCAGATGATTAATGATATGGCAAGTCCTGGATGGTCTTCAGGCCCACAAAGGAGGTGAAGGAGAATAGTTTTGGAGACAGAATTCAAGCATCTTGATATTTTTAAACTTTGATATGTCTACTAGATGTACAAGTGGATATGCCAAAATAGGCAGCTGGTAATATAATCCAGGAGATCAGGGCTAAAGATACACGTTTGGGAACCGTGAGCCTGTAAATGGTATTATGGGAATAGACACGGTTGCGTCATCAGATAAGGAGACCATGAAGATGGAAGAGGAGAGGAACCTCCCGATTCGGAGCCACAGCTCCAGTCTTTACTGTTCCTGCAAAGGAGGACCAAGAAGCAGGCGAGAAGGCAGAAGAGAGCGAAGGGACTGAAGCGTCACAGAAGCCAAGAGAAGAGAGCGCAGCATTAATAATCAACACGGAGAAGGGTTAGAAGATGGAAGGAAATGGAAGTATCAGGATGTCTGTATTTTATTACCTTTCCTATTTTGAAATGAATTTTGCTTAGTTTTTCTAATAAGCTCTTTTCTTGCTCTCTTCTTAGGTACCCATAGATAGATTCCAAATTTTTGTTTTAGCTGTGATCCTTGCCAGAATTGGGGCAGATTCTGGTAGAGTTCCTGTACCAGGAAGAGCACGCTTTTCCAGGATATATCCCTTAATTTTCTGGTTGTTTTTGGGCATTCGAGCTGTGGAAAATATTTTTCTATATTTTTCCCGACTTCATGGATTATTCCTTCTCCCTTTCGGAAGAACATTGGAAGTCTTACTTTTCTTTCTCTCCATCCCCTTGATACGGAAGGAACTCTCTTACCTGCCCAAAGAAATCCACCCCTCCCCTCACCCCAAGCTTTAGGTGATCTCATACAGACATGGAAGAAACCCTTTGAAGTCTCTGGAAGATCTTTCTCCTTTCTATGATGTTTTCTCTGTCTCATCCTATTTCACTGCCTGATAATGTAGCCAGTATTTGAGATTAATTTCATTTTCCTCTTCCATTATTTTGCAGTCATTATTTTATTTCTTCCCCACACATCTCTCCTGTTCCTTCCTTTTGAATCTTGGGGGTGGGTCTTGAGAGCTCATTGCTGTCACACAGTCTTTAGTTGATGAGCTCCCTCTGACAGTACTGGGGTGTTTAAAACTTGGTGCTTAATTTAAAAAAAAAAACTGATTTAAAAATTGAGGAGAGGAGAATTTGATTGACTTAAATACCATAGAACCAAACATTCTTACTGTTATTATTTAAATAATTCAGAGATGCATAGAAGAAATTAAAAGTTAGAGTATCCCACAGAGAAAATAGGTAAGGGATTGTCTAGGATGTGGCCAAGGGAAGTCCCAAGATGATTGCTACTGAAAATAGCCAGCCCAGGGTAGAATAGAAGGTCAGATGCTCCAGTAGGGATATCTCTAGAAGAGTACAGAGCTGATAAATTGTTTAATAGACTTAACTAGATTGAGAGTTATAGAAGAATCATTTTTATAGAGTTAGTAAAGGATGTGGAGGATAGACATTCAATGGAAACAACGTGAAGAGAAAAATGAAGCAATTCTCAATTCCAAGAAAAACTGAAGGTTGTCTGAGAAAGGAAATGTAATTGTAGTCACTTCTTAGTTTAGTCACCAACAATGTTTTGCACGGTCATAATGAATCATTGAATATGTATTGAACCAAAATTGATCTCTATTTACATTAGGAGGATGGAGTAGGGAAGGAATGAGTATAAACAAACCTAACAGGAAATCAATAGATAATGTGTTTTGTGTCTCTGGGGGGCAGAAGGGGAAGTATGGGAATGGGGGATATAAAATAAAAGAATGTAGTTGGTTGGTATATGCATTCGAATGCACTACTTGACTTTTAACTCTTTGAAGGTAAAAACTAAATTAATCAAAAGCAAAGAAAATGCAGCAGAACTACATATTCTGACTTTGGAAAGTTGTTTAAGATATAATGTTTGGGGCTGGGGATATGGCTCAGGCGGTAGCGCGCTTGCCTGGCATGCGTGCGGCCCAGGTTCGATCCTCAGCACCACATACAAACAAAGATGTTGTGTCCGCCGAAAACTAAAAAATAAATATTAAAATTATCTCTCTCTCTCTCTCTCTCTCTCTCTCTCTCTCTCTAAAAAAAAGATATAACGTTAAGCAAAGCAAAACAACAACAACAAAAAGCAAAAAACAAAAGCAAATTGGGAAAATATTGCATTTTGGTTAAAAAGTTACTATTTTAATATGGAGCCATAATGATAGTTATCTTGGGGATTATGGAGGATTTTTGTTTATGGAATTTTTGAATAATTCACAATGTTATATCTGTGAAAAAAGACACTCTAGGAAAGATATATATATATATAAAAATACCCCACGCCCACAAACAAACAAAAACAGAGAACACTTCCCAGAAGAGGAGCATTATTTTTCACATGAGGTAAAAGATTAGAATTTAAAAAACGTGAACAAAAGCAAGAAATGCATTGGGGCAGGGTAAACAGCGCCCTTTCTCCTTTCTTATTGTGCTGAAGGTTGGTGAGGAGATTTTGTGAGTTCAGGAGAATGAAATTTAGTGATAACAATATCGGTGAACTCCAACAGTTATGACTGACATTTCTCAAGGCACTATGCTGAGAGTTTCAGGTGGATTGTCATCCTCTGGTATCTCTGGGAGATTGGCTGTAGGACCCCTGTGGATCCTAGATACCCATTCCTTGTATAAATCGGTGTAGTATTTTTATATAACCTATGCACATCCTCCTGTGTACTTCAAATAATCTCTCTGTTACTTGTAATATCTAACACAATGTAAATAGTTATTATACTGAATTGATTAAGGAATCAATCACAAGACAAAAAAAGTCTGAACCTGTTTTAGTACAGATGCAATTTTTTTAAAAAAAATTTTGAGGTATGATTGATCGAATGCGCAGAGGCTAAACCCAGTTCCAGAGAGACAACTGTATTGCCTTATTTAATTCTCACAAAATCCATTTCATGTTCATTTACCTATTAAAAGTATTTATCAAACATTTGCAATGTGTTAAATGTTAGGATTACAGTAATAAGGTAGTCATTATCTCTATCCCCGAAGAATTTTTTTCCCCCAAAGGAGAAACAGAAATTAAACAAATACAAATAAATATTTGATGGCATACGGTAAATAAATGACAAGGGAGGTAGAACAAAATAATAAGGGACTGTACTTCAGAGAGGGCGGTCTAGAAAGTGGTCTCATAGAAGCTGACATATTTAAGCCAAGACCTCAAGAACAGGAGGAAGAAGAAGGTCTTTGAGAAGATGTGAATGACTGAGGCATGGAGAACTTTTTCCTCTACTAGAGAAGCTAAAGATCAGGGAGAGTACCAAGGGAGAGTGGTACTTGCTAAGTCTAGGAATGGACCAGATAATCCAGGGCGGTGCAGACACAACTTAAGTGCAATGGAAAGGCCCACAGGGTTATAAGCAGGCAAGTGAAGGATCTGATTTATATTAAGAAACATTTCTCTAGCTCTCTTGTTGAGAATTGATTGGAGGAGAACAAGAGCAAAATTAAGAGAGCTGTCCAGAAGTTCTTGTGGTATTTCAGGTTGGAGGTGGTGATAGTTGGATATAGAATGGTGGCAGAGGGTTGGAGAGAAGTGGATGAGTCCAAGGTATATTTTGGAGGTAGAGTACAAAGGGCCTGATGGTAGAGAAACTGTAGTCAGGGAGAACTTAGATTCCTGGCTGGAGCAGTGGAGCGGACATCTTGCCATTCTCCTATTTTTTCAGTCTATGAGACTATAACTCCAAGAGATTATGCAATATGTCCCAAGAGGTATAACTAGTAAATGGTGTACCAGGATATGATTGTGGGCCCATTCAAGTCCATACATAACCAACATTGTATTCTTCCTACAATGAATCATATCCTGCTATTTTCTAAAGAGAGAAATGATTGTCTGCTGAATTGTAATCTGTTGTCCATAACTCTTCTGTTTGGTTATCAGAAAAAAGTCAATGTGCAGGTGTTATCGGAAGAATATTTTTGTCCTGGAGTGGACTGGGGAATATTATTTGAATCACACTCTGGAGATGATGTTACTCCTTAGGTGTCTGATGTAGGTAAGCCAGATCAAGTCTGAAGGACTGGAAGCCATAATGCTAGATATGGACTTTCGGTTGCCAGTTAGAAAACCAAGCTTCCTCTCTCTTCGTTCTCTCCTATGAGATCAGGAAGAGTGTCATCTCTGAATTTCTCTGAGGTATATTTCAAAAAATTTATTGGATGTTGTTAAGGGCAGTTGCCCTGGAAGAAGTGGTCTTAGTCTGTGGGGAAAAAGGAAAACACAAAGTAGGTTAATAGAGACTAGACCCACAGCTTCCCCACCCCCAACCCCAAGTCTACAGATATAGGAGGGGATGGGCAGACAGATAGTAGGGATATTGATAGCATAAGTGGGATTCGGTTAAAACAACAACAACAACAACAACAACAAGTAGTTTGAAAACTCAATTATGGATGATGACCCTAATACAAGATAACTTCTCAGATACATTTTGGATGTCCTGAGACTTTCTGTGTCTTCCTGGTATTTTGGGTATCTGTAAAATGGCCTTTTTACTTTATTTGCAAGATCATAAGAAAGGGTAAGAATATAAGAACATGAAGCAATCATGGGTTTACCTCCTTGGAATGATTAATTGTGGAGTAAATTGTAATGGAGTCCTGTTTTGTGGGTGCTGGGATTTTCATTTCCTGCAAAAAAAAAAAAAGCATCATATGCATTTGGCTCACATAGAGACAAAGAGGTTCATGCATAGGTATATTCTTGGGGAAAGCAATGTGATAGAAGAGGGAATATGTCAAAGTTCTTTAAGAGGAAGAGCAAGAAATGTGTTTAGCAGGAGGAGTTGGAGACCAAGCCCCACCAGTTCAGACCTGAGGAGTTTTAATGGCTTTTCCTGAGCCCCAAACCGAAGAGCAAACCAGAGGCCTCAAGAACGAGAGAG